CGGTCTAGTGAGAATCCCCTCTCCCTTGATGTGTTCGAAGATCTGTGACACTGGGAGCATCAAGAGGCTGTACTCGACCTCTTCCCACCGTCTGTTGCTGTTAGAGGCATCGCGTGTCAACGGGGTATATCCGCCGCTCGTCTTCTTCTTCTTAGACGTGGGGGATTCCACCGCCCTTGGGCCTAGCCGATCCACCATCTTGCGGGTCGCAGCAGCTGGTGCCCCGTCCCTCTGGGCGATCTCTCCTCAATCGCCGCGTATCTTTGTGCTCTGGCCAGCACTTCCGCATAATTGCTCCCGGGATCTCTCTTCAAATCCCGGTATAGATCCCCAGTTGCCAGTGCATTCGTGAAGAGGGTGAAGCCCATGCATTATGTGCATTGGGCCATTAACCCAACAGTTTTTAAGTAGAACCAATCGCAATTAATAACACACATCATTTTCAAGTACACCTAATCAACAATTAAATTGAAAAAATGAAGTGATAAAACAATAAAGTTTTTCTTAAAATATTATTAATAAAAAATCTATAATATTACTAATAAAAAATCCATAGACAGATATGCGACCAAATAAGTTACTATGAGTAAGTTTTATAGAATTAAAGTCACTATGATGTAACACTTAATACAATTATAGTCACTAAAATTACCAGAGTCACAATTTTGTCCACTACTTTTATTTTGTTTATTAAATAAGATCAATATATATATATATATATATATATTGATCTTATTTAATATATATATAAGAGGAACTTTTTAAGAGCATACAAAGCGCCACATAATCCTGCCATGTCATCCATCATATATAACAATTATTTAGTTATTTTTATACTTCATACCTTTTATTTTGTTTGGATTCTATTTTTGATTGCATATTGATATGGAAACAAATGACTCTAGATTCCGTCACTTTTGAAATAGATCGATTCCTAATCTAAATTAGGAAATCTTTATATGTTTATAAATTCCTAATTTTGTTTACTCTTAAGATGTTTTTAATTAGATTGATTTCAGTCTCAGACTAAATCAGATCAGATCAAACTTTAATAATAATTGGACACATAAAATGTAAAACAGAAATCTACCAGATCATATTACTTTAGACCAAATCAAACCCGAAAATTTTAATTCAATTAAAAACATCCTTATTAATGACGATTTCAATGTGATGAAATAATAAGTAAAATGTAAAGTCTTACTATTAAAAGTATTACACCATATTTCATACCAAGTTGAATGAGGAATATTAAAAAAAAAAAATCGAGCCGCATAATAAAGTAAATTAGAGGACATGAAAATAATTAAGAAGCTTCTCTATGAATTCTTTAAAATCGGGTTCATAACAATTATGCAGTAGAGAAGCTTATGTAGAAGACCATTTATACTATTTTTCATATAATTTTTATTTATTTAACAAATGGATTTTTTTTCATGATTCGGGATATTCACCTATTCAACCTATTCAGCTAGAATTTAATTAATTTCAGCAAAATAAACCAATTCCACCAATATTAGTATTATTAAACAGACTCTGTATTTAGACTGGGTTTATTTTGCTTTTGCGTCACATTATATATGATTCAGTAAACCAATCAAATTTTAAATTAGATAAATTACATACCGTCCGTGCATCGCACGGGCTTGAAACCTAGTTATTTCTAAAATACTACGTAACACTTAACACAATTCGGTGCACCTTTTAGGAAGAGCAGGTATTTCACAAATCCCTCCGTCCCTTAAAACTTCGTCATCTTTCCTTTTCTGGACGTCCCAAAAATTTTTGCCACTTTCCCTTTTAATCAATTATTTTGTGGTTTCTATTATTTCTCTCTCCTCTGCACAAACCTCAACCACACACTTTTTACTTTATTATTCTCTGTGCCGGCCAACTTTGACAAAGTTTTAAGGGACGGAGATAGTAGAAAAACTCAAACAGACAAATAAAACATAATGAAACATGTACAATAATTTTATAGAAAAATACTCCGTAAAGCATTAATAAGGTGCTGAACGAATTAGAAGGTGCTACACTTTTTAGTACAAACTATCTATATCTATCTATCTATATACTACCTCCGTTCTTAAATAAATGCAACACTTTGACTTTTACATTATTCACATTTTTAGTATAAGGTAAGATAAACCATCTAACAATTGAGCGAAAAAAATTTCTCTCATATGTAGTGTTTCTAGATATAATATTTTAAATATAAAAATAAGCCATAAGTCGTCTAACAATTGAGTGCAATATTTATCTCTCCCTCTCTCTCCCTCCCCCTCCCCCCTTTCTTTCTCTCTCTCTCTCTCATAAGTAGTGCTTTTATACATAAGATAATCTAACTAACAATTGAGAGATGTCTATAGATAGTGCTTTTAGGTATAAGACAAGTCTGCTAACAATTGAGCAGGAGATTATTTTAATTATATGTAGTGTTTTTAGATATAAGATTTTAGATATAAGAAAGATTAAGTCATAAGTCGTCTAATAATTGAGCGAGAGATGTCTATCTCTCATAAGTAGTGCTTTTAAGTATAAGATAATCTAGCTAACAATTGAGAGGAGGGATTTTCTCTATCATATATAATGCTTTTAGGTATAAGATAAGCTCACTAACGATTGAGCGGGAGAATTTTCTCTATCATATGTAATGCTTTTAGCTATTTGAAAATAAACTTGCTAACAATTGAGTGGAACCATTTCTCTCTCTCATATAGTTCTTTTAAGTATTAGATAAACTGACTAGCAATTGAACAACAGAACTGTCTCTCTAATATGTAAGAGTTTTAGGTATAACAAGATAATTTTGCTAATAGTTGAAGGGGAGATACGCTACTAACAATAGAGCGAGCGAATTTTCTCTCCCATGTAGTGATTTTACATATTAGAAGATACGCTACTAACAATAGAGCGAGCGAATTTTCTCTCTCATAAACTTCTACGGAATTAGCTAATTATTGAGCAGAAGAATTTTGCTCTCACATATGTAGTGCTTTTAGGTATGAGAAAATAAGCTTGCAAAATGTCTCTATAATTACGTTTACAATTATATAAGTAGTGCTTTTAAGTATAAGATAATCTAGCTAACAATTGAGAGGGGGAATTTTCTCTATCATATATAATGCTTTTAGGTATAAGATAAGCTGACTAACGATTGAGCGGGAGAATTTTCTATATCATATGTAATGCTTTTAGCTATTTGAAAATAAACTTGCTAACAATTGAGTGGAACCATTTCTCTCTCTCATATAGTTCTTTTAAGTATTAGATAAACTGACTAACAATTGAACAAGAGAACTGTCTTTCTAATATGTAAGAGTTTTAGGTATAAGAAGATAATTTTGCTAATAGTTGAAGGGGAGATATGCTACTAACAATAGAGCGAGCGAATTTTCTCTCCCATGTAGTGATTTTACATATTAGAAGATACGCTACTAACAATAGAGCGAGCGAATTTTCTCACTCATAAATTTCTATGGAATTAACTAATTATTGAGCAGAAGAATTTTGCTCTCACATATGTAGTGCTTTTAGGTATTAGAAAATAAGCTTGCTAGCAATTGAGTAGAGAAATTTTCATATATGTTGTTCTTTAAGTACAAGATAAGCTGAATAACAATTAAGCAATAAAAATTTCTCTCTCATACATAATGTTTTTACGTATAAGATAAAGCGGCTATCATGTATCGATTCATGTTAGCCGACCCCAATATCTTTTGGGACTAAGGCTTGGATGTTGTTGTTGTTACGTATAAGATCAACAACCCGACGATTCCGATCTGGTCCGGTCAACAACCCGACAATCCTGGTCCACGACTCGACGACTTCTTTTCGATCTGATCCATGATCTAACGATCCCTGTCCGGTCTAATCAATTGCCCATCAGTCCATATCCAATCTGATCCACGACCAAGTGTACCTGTTTGATCTGTTCGATCCGATCAAAGAGACAATGGTCCTATCATGTCTGATCAACAACCCGAACCTAAAGGTCCCCGTCTTGTACGATCAACGAGCCAACAGTCCCCAACCTGTCCGATCAATGACTTAATGGTTTGAGTTCAAACCGATCGACAACCGGGTGGTCCCAGGCCAATCCCGTCAACGAGACAACGACCCAACAGTCTCTGTCCGGGTTAGTCAATGACCTGACGATTCAATTTCAATTTTTGGAAATCACTTTTTAAAGTGAAGAGTTTTAAAAGGTCATTAGTTATCAACCAATAGGAAAATAGGAAAAGAATTCATCAAAATAAATGTTGAGATCGATTGGGACCGGCCGGTTTCAATGCCGACTTTCCTATACGTGGGACCTTGTACCTTACTTGGATTGTACTAGGTTTGATTCCAAACTAGGACCATAATTTTGGACTTCTAGACTTCTAGTCGGGCACAAAACCTATTAAAAAAATTTGATGAACATACTTTCAGATTTAAAAATTGAAAACAAAAATAGAAAACTAAAAAATATCTCTATTACCAAACAGGCCCTCATCATTTCTATGTATTTCAAAAGCTTAGAGGTAGTAGTGTAACACTCTTATCTTTTTTTGTCAAATTGACCTATGAACTTTGACCAATTATATTTTTTGAATACGAAATTTTCAATATGAAAATTACTCCCTCCATCCCTTAAAACTTTATCAACTTTCCTTTTTTAAATGTCCCACTAACTTTGCCACTTTCCCTTTTAAGCAAAGAATTTGTAATTCCAGTTAATTCTCTATCCTCTGCACAAACCTCAACCACACAGTTTTTACTTTATTAATTCCAGTGCCTGTCAAACTTGGCAAAGTTTTAAGGGACGGAGGTAGTATATCAATGCGTTCCTTATTCAAACCATTTTCATAAAAGTATAAAATTTATAAATTATATACATATACAATAATTAAAATAAATGTCCAAAGTTTGCCAAATCAAGAAAAGTCAATATGGCAAATCTTTTCGGGACAGATGTAGTATAACATAAAAAATTAAACCCAACCCGCCAGTCCAACCCTAGTCCTAGCAAGTGACCAACCAACCACAAAAACAATAATGATGTAAAGAAGACATGCTAATAGTCCTCGGTGAAAACAAAACTCATAATCAGCAATCCAAAAATAAGAGGGTTAACTCTCACCAATTACATTGTTCAAAAACATGTTTAGGAAATGCTGTTTGTGGGGTTGTTTACTCAAAAGCATCGTTCAAAAATAACACGGTTAGTTCACTTCTTTCTTTTGGAGCCACTGATTTTTTCTGCAGCTTTGCCAGCAGTTACTTTTCCTCTTCGTGCTCCTGCCGGAGCCATCTTCGTCACCGAGCCCGAAACCTTGAAGTCCATGTTAACTTGGATACCTATAGTTTAAAGAGAAGTAAGGATGTTTTCAACCACCAAGGCAACCAACAGATCCAGCAGATTGAAGTGTCACTTATAGCAAGTTCTCATCCTACCCTTTGAGTTCAGAATTTGGAAATCCAACTGAAGCTTTTTTTCCGGATCAAGTACATCATCATCTGACAAAAACAAGCAAGGAAATGTAATACAATCTTGTTCACTGAGAACTAGTCAATAATGGTGGTTTAATATCATGTACGCCGTACACCACACTACCTCTGTCCCAAAGAAAGATTTATTTTTAATCGAGGCAAATCATTTCAACTTTGCTAGTGCAACTGTCAAAATTCATGAAGCATATTTATACTTTAATATTTTGATGGGATGGAAGTCGAGGGAGTACGAAGTTTTCTACATAAGAGCATCATCAATGGTACCCTGTTCACATTAATAAAAACTATCTCATCATCAATGTCAACATTGCTTCTGATATTTGCATAATCTCCAATGCATCATATCTGAACTCATGTAATGCTGAGTGTCGAAACTTAATGTCAACAGTGTTACAATGATTGTCTTAGGAAAACAGAACACTTAACATGCTGACTCCATTGTAATTGTGCAATGCAATTGCGCCTCATGGCACACCTCAGTTAATTCATGGACTATGGCGTAGAAGGCATTGTTTATGGCGCTAGGAGTGTGGCGTACGCAATATTGCAGTGAGGCGTACGCAATAGGTCAGGGTGTAAGGGTACTATTTGGGCCTACTCGGTCCATTTTTTAATTTTTATAATTGACCATTGATGTTATGGCCCCTATTTCAAATCACTAGATATTAATGATTCAATTTTCATTCATCAATCGAATAAATTTTAAATTTTGATATGTTAGGGATTTTATTTTGGGTGAAAGGTTAAAACCAAACCTTACTTTAATTCGCAAATCGCAACTATCATTTGGGGGACTGTTTGTCTTCTCCGACTTCTTACCTTTTCCCGATTCACAAAATCGCAGGTATCGTTTCAGCAAGGTTTGCTGATAGGGAGTGTGGCCGACTGCCTGACTAAAGGTTTGAAACTGTGAAATGCCTTGCTTCAATTAAAATCTGATTCCTAAATGCTTCCCCACCCAGCCCAATACCTTGGAAACATTTCCTGGCATTTTCTGGCATTTCCCAACATTTCGGGAACGGAAACCGGAAGTCGATTGCCTTTTCTGTGCTTCCAAGGTTTTCACGTGCAGGGGAATTTTATCTGGTAATTTTTTTTATTTTCAAAACAAAAGGCTTACACATAAAACATCCATATGGACTGTTAACACTACGTGTTGGATCAGATATTTGGGTTCTACTGCGTATTTAAATCACACTTATATGACGTGGAAGAACAGTCCATTTATTGATTGCGATGTGTCAAAGTTTATTTCATGTTAAAAATGTAGCATTAGAGATGCTCTAAAGCCATGGCTGCGCGACTTCAGGGATCAGGTGACTGCAGACAATCCGAATTGGTCATCTTGTCCCACGCTTTAAAAGCTTACGTTGAGCATCTCGATTAATGCAAATCTCAACATTTTTGCCATAGCATCAGTTTATTCATACGGAGTATTTCATATTGCATTTTTCATCTTTTTTTATTTAATCGTACCTTCCCCTGCATCTGAATTTCCTTTATCTTCTTGCAGTACATCTTCATTGTCTTCTGCTAAGTTTTCATCAATTGGTTCCAGCATTGCAGCAACCCGCTTCTTGGGCGCCTTCTTTAACCCGGGAAGGGTTATTAAATCGGCGGTTCGAACCAAACGGGATCTGCTTCCTTTATTATACACTTTTGTTAGTGCAGCTTTCACAGCTGGCAGTACTCCATCCATTGGACTTGAATGCCCCTGGATAAAACCAACGAAGAAAACCAGAGCGAGACGTAATACACTTCTAATCTGAGAAACAATCAGTAATTCCCAAATCATTATTGGCTAATAAAACTAATAACAATGATTATAAAAACCTGAAATTTGGAAATCTCGACAATACTGTCAAAGTCATCCTGGGTTATTGAGTACGAATCCATGAAAGCCACAACCTTCTCAACAGCTTCATCCTGGAAATATTTTAAACCTACTAATAAACACACACACATGTATTCCCATGAAGCTTTTTAATTTAAAGCCAACTCTCTAAGGAAGAAGTAATGTTTAAACCTTTGCCATTGTTCTTAGAGGATCAGTCATTTTCTTACAAATAAGAGTCATGCAGTCAAGTCTCAAAGCTCGCCTGAAAGTTTAATAAAGCGAGAAAAAAAAGTTTACTATTCCATGGTTAGCAAATGCAAAAAGTAACTCTAGAGATACATGTGCCTAATGTTTACAGAGAATGTACCTCTCCAAGTTAGATTCAGAGGATGCTAACACATGAAAACGCAAGTCCTCTAGAAGTCGAAAATTCTTTCCCATTGTAGAGTTCTTTCCCAACCAGCCGCCAAACCTATTGTAGTTGCGCTCACCCTGTTTTGTATGCCATATTGCCATATATAACCAAACATGAGTAGGACAAATCTTCAACTTTGGTATGAAATGCAGTGAGATTATTGAAGAGGAAAAAGGTTGGAAGTTGGAACTTTTTTAAATACAAGAGTATGCATGACTGGTGAAACAAAAATGAAAATTTTCAATTACATGCTGTTGTGAACCGAAAAATAAAAATCAACGGGGTAAACCGTTGCCCAGATACTCAACGATAAAAACACCGTTGCCCAGAGCCAAAAAGGCTAAAATCCAACTTTATTCCAAGATGAGCCCGAATGAATCCTAACAAGGGTTTTAAATACTCATCTTCTAATTCTCAAACTAGGAAACAAAATCCTAGAAATCCTAATCAACTCCAACTAGGAAACAAGATAATAGAGATCCTAATCAACTTCAAATAGGAAACAAATAATAGAAATCCTAATTAACTCCTAATAGGAAACAAATAATAGAAATCCTAATTAACTCCAAATAGGAAACAAATCAGGAAAATTAAAAATAATAAATATTAATTAAGCAGCCCGCAACCAGCCCACGATGGTGGGCTCAAGCCCGTTCCCGCCTTCAGTAAACCCATAGCAGCCCGCAACCAGCCCACGATGGTGGGCTCAAGCCCGTTCCCGCCTTCAGTAAACCCATGGGGGCTTCTGCCCCTCTTCTTCCAAGCCCAGATTCTGCTTCATATCACATGCCTTCCAAAAGTGGCTCTAGAGGAGCACATTAGTAGCAGCTAAACAAATATTATTATGGTCTTAGCCTAATTCCGGCCTTCCCCATTTAGACTGGTTTCTATCTGTTTAATTTTCTTTCTTCTTCTAGTTACAACTGAAGGTAGTTAATTGTTCTTTCTAGTCGAATTAAATTGGCATTGGCTGACTCTGCCTTTCCAAGTCAAGTACACTATAATGACTATATATAGATATTATGATAAATACTTTCAATGCTTGCAAAATTCCACACGGATTGACATAACAATTTATCAGTAAAATATAAATGAATGAAAACTCTAGTATAAAGAATCATAAATATACCTGCTCCAGTATTTCTCTTTGCCCATGCAGCAAAGCAGCACTACCTCGCATACAAAATAACAAAGAAAGTTCATATAGTGACATGGTAAATAATAGAACAAGTAAAAACAAAATTAGTTACGGAAAACTGTCAAATGGGCCCCCATACTGAAGCAACAAAATCAATTAAACTCTCATAATATCAAATTACCAAATCAACCCCCAAGCTATACAAAACGCCCAATCCCGCTTTTTAGCCGTTCAGTTACCGGTTATCCCATCAGTCGCTAATACGGCCATGTGCCGTTAAATTCTCTTCTTTTTTCTGAGCTGCTAACAGTCATCAAACCAAACACCCTCAGAAATTCGCAAATTGCCAAAGGCAAAAGAACTCATCTCTGGTTTCTGTGAGGTCCACATTTTTTATAATGGACACTTGAACTCCTCTGCAGGCAGAAGAGATGAGAGGAAAATCTATCGTTCGCGGCGTAGTCTTCTTCAGCGGCAGAAGCTGATCGATCTAATCTTTTCCTGAAACTCAAATCACCATTTTTTTTCTGTTAGGCAAGTTTCTGCTGCCGGCCACGGTGAGCTTCATTTTCTTCTTGGACTTCACCGGGACCTGGCCGATGCACGACGTCTTGGTGAAAGATGGCTCAGGATTTTCAAAAGCTGAGCCGCCACATTGGGGAACAGTGGGGAAGCCTGAAATGCCTTCGTGCTGCCATTACTTCACAGCAGCTGGCTAAAAGAGGTGGAGCGAGAGATGGAGGGGTCACAAAACTGACCCAGACAATTTGGAAAGCTTGATGGAAGAAGATGGAGGTGGGCTCAAAGCGAAGGAAACGAGGAGCTCACCACTCACTAGTTCTGTTACTTATGCATGGAGTTGTGTGATGGTGGGGGTCTATAAGTCTATTATCCAAGTTGGGGTTCTGAATTCTGAATTTGCTGGCGGAATGATAGAGAGATTGCACAGAGGATAGGATCAGAAGGGAAGAATGAATGGGAAGATGGTCAGCTTGTGTCATGTGCTTCCCAAAAAACAAATATAATAACGCTGCATAGCCGAACACATCAGCCACTAACGGGATAACCGGTACCCAAAAGGCTAAAAAGCGAGATTGGTTTTTGTTATAGTTTGGGCCTTTGGGGGTTGAATCGGTGATAATACGAGCATTAAATTGACTTTTTTGCTATAGTACAGAGCCTACTTGACAGTTCTCCCATTTAGTCATTATGTCTTCGAAATAATAGTATGACATCATACGGCATTATTGATGACGCCAAGGAGCCCATTTGTGCAAGCTGCCACTGTTGATATCTTCTAATTTGTACATTGACTATATCACCATCAGCAATAGACTCAGCGGCACGGGCGAGTAGGTTCATCCTTTTCAATCCATTATCATCTTTACCACCAGAAATGGAGTTTGGACGGTAATTGATATAATTCTCCTAAACATTAGTGACAAAATAATATCAACTATGTTAAGCACTATATAGACTATGAAGCCATCAAAAGGTCAACATAACTTAAAGCTCCACCTCTAGTATGCTCCTTAGGTAGAAAAGATTAAAATGATTCTTCTTTGCTTCCAATACTAAGTATTCTACTATAGAGCAACCAAACTCAGCTACTTACCATTCTAAATTCTAATACTTGGTTAAAATCACAAAGGTACTAGTAAGGATTATAAAAAACACATTGCATTGTCCCTATTTAATTTTCCCGGCTTTGCACACAGTTAAAGAAATGAAACTTTGTGGTTGAGATCTATTTAGAAAGAGAAGAATCAATACCTACCACAATTCTTTACTAAAAGAAAATATGAAGATTGTTCAAGGATGGACCAAAAACGGAAGTCCTCATCATCATTAGTCCAGTGCCGCAAAGGCTCCCCACCTACGGTGGGGTAAGGGGGTTGGTTGTACGCAGCCTTACCCCTGTACTAAAGCATAGAGAGACTGTTTCCGGATGACCCATGGCGAAAATCGAGTTGAAAATTGCATGAACTGACTGTTGTGCCACAGACAACTTAGTAAGCCATTTTTCTTTATTCCATCATATTCCCAAGCCAAAAAATAGTAAATCTTAGGCTCCATTGCAAATGATGGAAAGGGACCAATAACGGAAGTGCGAAAATTAAAATGAGATAGATGGAGCATTACTTCATTAGTGACACAGGCAGGGAATGGTCCGGAGAAGGGCATAAGGAATGGAGAATCTATTTCAATCATACCCTTGCTGAATGGAAGCCTTATTTAAGCCTTAAGGGCACATGGTGATTTTATCCGCATTCTCTGAACCCTTCCCTGCATGTATCTTACTTTTTAGTAAGATATTATCAGTGTCAATTTGATGATTACGCCAACAATAAACCTGAATAATGAGAGGTACGAGATCAGGATCACTCATGCACAAGCCGATGCGCTCATCTATCTTCATCTTCCCCCCATTAAAACCAAGCAACCTGCATAACTAAATATCAGTGTAGGGATACAGCTTTAAAGAATTACCAAGATTAGAAATGGTCAAGTTCCACAAAAAAGGTTCACGATGCAAACACAATAGTTGAGCCACACTGAATAAATAAAGAAATAAGCTATTATGAGAAATCCACTCGCACTCTACAGACAGCAGCAAGAGTGTTACTTATTTACTAATTACTTCTGAAAAGTCTATCGTTTTATTCTGCTTGCACTCCTTAATTACATACTTACAGTCTTAACCACAAATTGAGATTTTTTTTAATAACAGCGGTTGGATATATAGTAGCTTTATTGAGCATTGGACTCTAGTACCTTTATTACAAAATATAACATAGGAATGGCATAATTAACATCAGTTAAATCACATAACATATGAGAAAGCTTCTTGCTAATAAGACCACACACGTGATCAAGGATTTTGACGAGATATATTGCCCACTATACCATTACATAGTAAATGAACTAATTGCGAATATTGAAGAATCCATACTTATCAACTGCTGTAAAAGGTGACATGTCTTCATCCTTTGAGCTAGTTTGGAGGCGCTGGCGTATATCATCATAGCTGATTACAGACTTGGAAAGAGACAGATACTGTAATTGGTTCAGTGCCATGCGCATGTCGCCATTTACCCGTTCTCCCAACTCCTCAAGCGCAATCTAAAAATAGCAAAGACCAATTACTTTTAACAAACAAAAGAACAAATACAGCTTGAAAATAGATATGCAATTACACACAGAAGAGAATAAGAGACAAGAATCTTACTCGTGGAATTTTAGTAAGGGTGTGGCTAGAAATAGACACAAGCAAGCATAATTCTTCTTCAGATACATACAACACATCTTCATACTTTTTAATTAACGTCGGGAAAATGCTCCTTTAAGTGTTCCCTCTTTAATGCATAGGCTGTGCAAAGTGTAGATTTCCATACACACTTTGTTGTATTACTAATAATTATAATGTTGTCAGTTGTGATAAAGTACCTTTTGTTATATGACAATTCTACAAGATAAATGTGTTACAGACCAATTCTATGGTCGAAAATATCAACGTAGAAATCGGATGATCAGGAAGGGTGATTCTGGAATCCGAAGTGGCTGAGAAAGAAATGTGTGATCTGGCAGTTATAAGAAGCTTCCTAATCAGCAGCTTCCTAATTAGCATTTATCTCTTTCTCTAATTATTTCTAGCTTCCTATTCAGCAGTTTCCTAATTAGCATTTATCTCTTTTCAATAATTATTCCTATTATGCTTTAGGCAACTTCTTAATTAGCATTTATTTCCTTTTAGAATAAGGACTCTCGTAATAGCTATATAAGGGTCATTAGTATTATTATTCAATAAACAGCTTTGGAGAATTAATTCTTGGATCTCTGGAATACTTCCAAGATCAGATTAATTCCACTGAGCCCTTTCTTTTAATTATTCCGATTAATACGCTCATCATCGATTCCAAATTACAGATTTCTCTAAGTTCTTGTTCCCTGCCAGTCTCTCGTTCTCATCCTTGGACGAGATCTTGTACGTCTGCCCTTAACAACTTGGTATCAGCATCTGGACGATGGCGAATGACGCTGCTGATGCTGGATCACTTAAAGACATGATCGAAAACATCGATCACCTGCAACTAGCAGTCGAACATCAATTGGCAGACATCAGGCATTCTATGGCTAAGCTCGCCAACATTCCTAACGTTGTATCCGCGCTCTGCAAACCTGCAACGATTGATGGGCGAATCTTCCTCCAGCAATCCACGGCATGAACGACAACGCGACACGGAACCTCGTCGGCGTGAAACTGATGATTCCTTAGTCCCCCGCTACTCTAAACTGGAATTCCCTCAATTTGACGGTAAAAGTGGTCCCTTGTCGTGGTTTAAACGTTGTGAAAGCTTCTTTATTCAACAACGAACACCAGCCCAAGCTCGAGTGGGATTGGCAACATTCCACATGCTCAGCACTGCCCAACTATGGCCGATCAACTTGAGACGGGAATTTCAGAGATTACATGGACAGACTTTTACACTAGCTGCATCAAACGTTTTGGCCCACCCAGTAGTTCTAATCCAGAAGGTAATCTTGCCAAACTTCGTCAAACTCGTGATCTGGAGCTCTACATTGAGAATTTTCAACAATTATCGACTCGAACCGTGGGGATCTCTACACGAATGCAGGTCAAAATATTCACAGCTGGCCTTCGGGAGGTCATCCGCATGGAGGTTGAGTACCAAAATCCATTAGATCTTGACTCTGCGATGATGCTCCCACGTAGTGTTGAACGCAAATATAATTTGCATGGCTTCTCGGTCGAGATCTCCCCTCCACCCCAACCTGCCACACGATCAGACTATGCGCCCACACTGACCGAATCCAATCAACCTCGGCGCAACTCCATTCCAACTTTCAAAAAGATTTCTCCTGCAGAGGCTGCCATCCGACGGGAGAAAGGGTTGTGTTATAATTGTGATGATTAGTGGGTTTGTGGCCATAAATGCAAACGGTTGTTTTCATTAAAATTTTGGAAGACAATCCATAAATTCTGGAGCTCCCTCTCTCAATTCATGCTATGGTTGGTGCTGGGACAACATCAACAATGCAGTTAGATGCACATATTCACAACACCTCGATCACGGTTTTAGTCGACTCAGGCAGCACCCACAATTTTGTGCATCAACGGTTGGTTTCTAATATTGTTCACACAGTCCAACCCGGGTCCCGTCTTCAGGTTTTGGTGGCTAATGGTGACCGGGTGCCTATATTGGGAACCTGCCCACGGCTGGAATTCATGGTTGATGGACGCACATTTATGGCAGACTTCTATATACTTTGACATGATCTTGGGAGTACAATGACTCTAAGGCCTCGGATCTATTGTATGGGACTTTTCCCGCCTATCTATGCAATTCATATGGCAGAATGCAAAGGTGGAATAGCACGGACAGATTGCAACTATGCCTCCTCATGCCCATATGTTGACCGAAACAGTCTTAGGGCTGGAAGGCCTGCTCAATGACTTCCAGGATATCTTCTGCCAACCAACCGACCTCCCACCTTCCCGGCCTTGTGATCACCGAATTTCCCTCATCCCAAGAACAGGCCCAGTCGTTGTTCGTCCGTACCACTACCCATACTTTCAAAAGGATGAAATCGAAAGATAATATTCAGAGATGCTAGCACAAGGTATCATACGCCCAAGTCATTCTCCTTTTTCGTCGCCTGTATTATAAGTAAAAAAACCAAAGGGTGCTTGGTGATTCTGCGTTGATCACAGGGAATTGAATTCCAAGACGATCAAGGATAAATATCCAATCCCGGTAATTGATGAGCTGCTAGATGAACTTTATGGGGCCCAATTTTTACTAAACTCGACCACCGTTCCAGATATCATCAGATCCGCATGGCAGTTGGGGATGTCGAAAAAACAGCATTCCGTACGCATCATGGACACTTCAGTGTTTGATGAATGATATTTTTGGGCCCTACCTTTGCAAGTTTGTCCTCGTTTTCTTTGATGACGTATTGATTTATAGCAAGTCATGGGTTGAGCACGTTTATCATGTGCGCCTCGTCTTAGAAATCTTGCGCAACCATGGCCTTTCTGTCAAAAAATCCAAGTGCAGTTTTGGCGACCACCAAGTCAACTATCTAGCAAGTCAACTATCTTGGTCACATAATACATCGTGGAGGTGTCGAGGTTGATCCATCCAAAATACGAGTAATCACAGAGTGGCCCCTTCCTAGATCTGTATCTGCCTTGCGCGGGTTTTTAGGGTTGGCCGGCTATTACAGAAAGTTTATTCAACAATATGGAAAAATTGTGGGGCCTCTCACGCAAATGTTAAGGAAAAGCTCCTTCATATGGACAGACGAAGCTGCCCAGGCATTCGAGACACCTAAGCAACGCTTATCCTCTGCTCTGGTACTCCAACTGCCAAATTTTGAAAAAGAATTCAATGTAGAATGTGATGCTTCAGGTTCAGGTTTTGGAGCAGTCTTACAGCAGGAAGGGCATCCTATCGCCTACTGTAGTCGAAAAATTGTTGATCGACACCTTAAGCTTACAGCCTATGAAAGAGAGTTGATTGGCTTAGCCAAGACGGTGACTCATTGGAGACCCTATTTGTGGGGATCTGAATTTTTAATTTGGACAGATCATTCCGGTTTGAAGTATTTATTGGATCAACGATTGACCACTTCCCCACAACAACATTGGTTGCTGTCGCAGATGTTCTATCCTGACAACATGAGGACGACATCCAGTTGGCAGCACTCAGTGTTCCATACAACACCTTACTTAGTGAAATATGTGCAGAACAAGCAAACTCTCCTATCATAGCGGATATCATTGGTGAAATTCGAACTGGCCAACGTGGATCAGATTGGGAGATTCGAGAGGGCCTAGTTTATTTAAGGTTTAAAATCTACCTGCTAGATACATTTGCAGTCGCTCCAACTCTGATCTCGATTTTTCATAATATGGCTCATGAGGGAGTGGAAAAGACTTCGCAACGGCTTTGGCGCGAGTTTTATTGGAGCAGCATGAAAACGGCAGTGACAACCTTTGTTCGTGACTGTCAAACATGTCAAAAACACAAGCGGTTGACATTACAGCCAGCTGGTTTGCTTCCACCTCTTCCGATTCCACACCACATATGGGCTGATATTTCAATGGATTTTGTGGAGGGTTTACCAAAGGTTCGCAGCAAGTCTGTTATCCTAGTGGTTGTGGACAGACTCTCTAAAGCAGCACATTTTATCCCGTTGTCTCATCCTTATAGTGTTGACTCAGTCGCAGAAGTCTTCTTTGCTGATATATTTCGCCTTCATGGACTGCCTGAATCCATTGTTTCTGACTGGGATAAAATATTTGTAAGCACATTTTGGCGTGAACTTTTCAGATTATCAGGAACCAAGCTGGCCTATTCATCAGCATATCACCCGCAGACAGATGGTCAAACGGAGGTGGTCAACTGTACCGTAGGGTTGTTCTTACGTTGTGTCACTAGCGATTATCCCAAGGAATGGGTCTGTTGGCTTCCATGGGTCGAGTATTGCTACAACACATCTTACCACTCTTCCTTAGGGGACACCCCTTTTTGTTTAGTGTATGATCGGGATCCGCCTCATATTCTCTCATATATGCCCAGCACAACTACTGTCGAGGGGGTTGATCGCAAGCTCATTGCTCGTGACCAACTTCTGAAAAATGCCAAGGACCGACTAGCACAAGCCCAACAACGCATGAAAGATCAGTTTGATATATATCACCGAGACTTATCCTTTGACCCCGGTGCATGGGTCTGGCTCCGTCTCCAGCCATATCGCTAGCTGTCCTTGGGCCAAAAAATCACAAACTATTACAGAAATTTTTTGGCCCCTTTCAAGTGCAGGAACGCATTGGCAACAGCACATACAAGCTCATATTACCTGCTGAGGCTCGTATACACAATGTCTTCCATGTCTCCCTTCTGAAGCCGCATAAAGGGCCTCCTCCAACGACAATGGGCACTCTTCCGCCAGTTCCTAACAGTCTTAGCACCTCAGTTCCCCTTGCAATCATCCGAAGTCGACTTACTAAAGGAGGCTGGGAGCTCTTAGTTCAATCGCAGGCGCACCAACTGGATGAGGCAACCTGGGAGCCCTTGGATTCATTTCAAGCGAGATTTTCCAGTTTTGAGCTTGAGGACAAGCTCTTTCTCAACGAGGGGAGTGATGTTACAGACCAATTCTATGGTCGGAAATATCAACGTTGAAATCGGATGATCAGGAAGGGTGATTCTGGAATCCGAAGTGGCTGAGAAAGAAATATGTGATCTGGCAGTTATAGGAAGCTTCCTAATCAGCAGCTTCCTAATTAGCATTTATCTCTCTCTCTAATTATTTCTAGCTTCCAATTCAGCAGTTTCCTAATTAGCATTTATCTCTTTTCAATAATTATTCCTATTACGCTTTAGGCAACTTCTTAATTAGCATTTATTTCCTTTTAGAATTAGGACTCTTGTAATAGCTATATAAGGGTCATTAGTATTATTCAATAAAAAACAGCTTTGGAGAATTAATTCCCGGATCTCTGGAATACTTCCAAGATCGGATTAATTCCACTGAGCCCTTTCTTTTAATTATTCCAATTAATACGCTCATCGTAGATTCCAAATTACAGAATTCTCTAAGTTCTTGTTCCCTGCCAGTCTCTCGTTCTCGTCCTTGGACGAGATCTTGTACGTCTGCCCTTAACAAAATGTCAGTCCAAACGAATGTGAATCAATAAATGAAAGAAGAAGAATCATTAAACATAATGAGAAGTATTCAAAAAAAAACAAGGGAGTAATTTAAATCCAACGCAATAGATTTAAATTCTAAATGTGTGACTCAGAATGATGCTATGTTGATAAAACAGGCTTCAACAGAGCTATAGCTTCATACAACAACATCTAAGCTTAGTCGCAAAAGAGTTTGGGGTCGGCTAACAAAATTAAATATAACCCAGGTTTAAAAATTGCGTATTGCGTGGTCATGGTGTTTTTTAAAAACTGCATATTGTGCAAGCCTCATTGCACAATGAGGCATATGCTAGACCGCCAGAAGCGTAATACACACACACACACATATGTACGTATAAACACAATAAAAATAAAATAACTTACTCACCAAAAGTTATCAAATGCCATATTAAAACAAATTATAATGAGAACATAATCCTAGGAAAACATAAAATGTTCAAAGTACCACGAAATTCCTGAACTGTTATCATAACAAAATTCTTAACATATTAAAATTTTAAGATTTTAAGATTATTAGATTGATGGCGGCAAAATCAAATCATCACTATCTAGTAGTTTGAAATAGGGATCACAAACGAGGAATATGCTAATTATAAATTAAGAAGTGGGTCGAGTGAGTCCAAATAAAACCCTTACACCCTGAACTCCTACTGTGCATGCCTCTGAACGACTTATTGGGTATGCAATATTGCGTAAGCCATAGTCCAGGCCCCAGGGTTTATCTGAGGCGCATTATGTGCAATGAGGCTTACGCAATATTGCAATGCGTTTTACGCCATAGTCTAGGATTTAGCTGAGGCGCGTTATGAGGCCCAATTGTTATGCACAATTACAAACAGTGATTATAACATACATTTATCAAAAGTAATACACCCAATAAACCCAACCCAGATGCTGGAAAAGCACCTGATTAACTTGAAGTCCCTCAGCACTTGCAATCTGTAATAACCTCTTTCCCATCTGCAATTTCATAACCACCAATAACATAATTCATTCAAATGTAAAAGCAATGCTGTGAATAGGAAGGAGAAGAAATTTTAAGTTAGATATACGAAAAAAGACCTGTTGCTTTGTGGGTTTCCTGAAGCTAAGTAGTAAACAGTAGTTGACTAGGCTCTTTAGCTTCTGGCTGTAGCGGTCATTACAAATGCAGATTATAGGTATTTTGGAGGTTTTAATACTAGCAATAAGATCAGCCACACCACCTCTATCTCCACCAGACATTCCATCAACCTCATCCATTATCAGAACTGTCTTTGAATGTGGAGAGCTGTAAGCATAAGCCAACCACTAAATTAACATAACCTCAATATTTAACACGTCACACAAATAACAAGAGGGAAAGGACTAACCGGGCTGCTTTGACACAAAGAGATTCGTTGCTGACAAGTTCTTTTATAGAATTAGCTGTACTTCCACCGATACCCTTCACAATTTTGGAATCAGCTTTTCCACGGTTGTCACTAGCATTAACCTAAGGAAGCTCAAAGATAAAATTCACCACACTTAATAATCATTAAGGCAAGCATACATATGAACGTTTTCCCATCCAGTCTCACCTCCACAGCTTGGAACCCCAGCTTCTGAGTGATCAACTTTGCAGATGTAGTCTTACCTATACCAGGTGTTCCGCTTAATAAAACTGCTCTTTTAGCACCATCATTCTGTTTATTTGATTTCCCTGTCCCCTTGCTACTCTTCAGGAACTGCTCATTCCAATGTGTAAGCCAATCTTCAAGCTGTTTTACCTGCATTAGTAAGTAGTAACAAATGATGCAACTAGTTAATCACTTGGAAAACATCTATATCAAAATACAAAGCATAAGACGGACGATTTTTATCTTAATCAGCAGATTAATTTCTGGTTTCTTTTTCTCTAACAGTTGCGATATGCTTCAATTGAAGGATGTAAAGGGCATGGGGAGTGAAATTTTTAAATGTAACGTTTAAAAATAATATTTGAGTGTGATTAAAAAGTTTTTAATTTGTATTTCTTACAATCTTACCAGTGACCTTATTTATAACCTAACTTCTTTAATGTTCTAGAAATGGACTTTAAAAATTCCCCTCCCACACCATTCCTCCAAATCCCTTGATCCAAAAACATTGTTAAAGATGAAATAGAATTTCGAAGAAGGGCCAAAAGGTAGAGGTATACCAATGACTGGTTTCCCACTAATTCATCTGGCTTCTTTGGCCTGTATTTTTCTGTCCATGGCAAACACGCATCCTTTAAAGAATGATTTTTTCTCTTGACAGGAGAGGTGACCTTGATCGGTTCTTTGGTAGCTACACTTTCTGCATAAGATTTGTCATCTTGTGGTCAATAACTTCTAATGAAAAATTTGGTTTACCACAAAGAGCAGGCCAACGATGAACCAAATCACCTTAGCTAAACAATTGAAGTTCATAGACCATCTGCTCTAGTCTGTTTTTTTGACAACTCAACCACATAGCAAGTTCATTTTGACTCAACAATTAGTCACTCAACATTATTTTTCAACAAAACTACAATATTTGTTTTTCATCAAAAAATAGAATAGATGGAGGTTTCGCATGGAAAATATTACTTCAAGAACCTCTAACCAACCAAATTGATGGGTACAAACATAAAAACTGGGGTTACTTCAGCAACTACGAGATTTTTAAACCACCACGATTGACGATAAAAACCCAAAAGTATATAACAGGATGATGGTATGTTGCTTCTGGCAAATATCATTATATCTGAGGTAGTAAAACATTGAATATGAGTGAATAAACCTATAAATCAAACAGGTATTAGAAGCATACTCTTAGGTTCTGGCTTTAGGTGGCTCTCTTTCTTTGGAGATTGACAAATCTCATCTTTAGGTTTCTTTGGTTCTTGTTTTGTATTCGATATTTTTGATGCACGGATCATGACAAACAATCCATCTTCAGTCAAAAAGGTAGTGCTGTACGTACAACAAAAATTACAAATGATCACACATCATAAAATAGCAAAGGAGATGCCATGAAATTTCATCGAGAATACAAACCCAAGCTCTTTGGCCTTTGCAGATTTCCGCCCACCAATGTCTTCATCGCAGAGAAGATAATTCTGTAACGACACATGTTCTCTAGAACATTCAAACTAAAACTCTTTCAAAAAAAAAATATGTATGGAACCAAATACAAATGATGACCGTTTTTTTGCTAATAGATCCAGTAACACGACCACCATGCCGCTTTATCAAATCCTCAGCTTCTTCTCTTTCCAAACTGGCACCATATGATAAAATACAGTAAAGAAAAATGGGTCACTCATGCAGGTACCGAATAGCAATCAATTAGCAAAAAGAAGTATGGTGACTACTTAACAAACTAGCATGCCATGAATTACAGCACAGAACATCAAGCGCTGTTTATCATGCATTCTCAATCATGATGGAAAAGTGGTAAACTGAACTCTCTACTGTCTAAGACCCAAGAAAGAATAGAAACGACAGCATGGGCAGAAGAAACAATGGTTGCTAAAAATCAGTAGATGCATTTTTGTGTTTTTACATTATATTTGGATGGCATAGGAGAAGGTTTGGATCAGATGGAGGGGAAGGAAGTTAAAAGTAGGTATGAAGAAAATGATGGCAAGAATCCTTTAAAATAGGACCTTCTCAGAAAGACACGAGAATGATGGCACTAAAAAAATAAATGACCAAAAGCAAACTAATCCTGATTCGTGTCATTTACTCAAACAACCACATTTACCAGCTTCAAGTCTGTGAAGATTAAACAACAACAACAACACACACCATATACATCAAATAAAGTGAAGCTACCTGGTCGGAAGAGTGTTATTAGTTGTTCAATTGAGTCTGAAAAGCATAATATTATGATATCATATATTGACATACCTGTCTAGTGTCCCAGAAATGACAAAAGTCAATCCAGCTAAACAGTCTGGAGCACCCTCAGGGACTTCCTGACATACAGATCACAATTTTGTCAATGAAGATAAACTGTAGGAACTAGGTAGAATAACAGCCTCTCAAAAAAAAGCTTACCTTCTCTCCTTTGTGAGGAGGATCTTTCCTTTCACCGAAGTTCATGAATCCACCCCGTCCTCCTCCCCCTCTGCCTCCTGCACTGGCCGCAGTTGCAGCAGCTCCTCCACCACGACCTCGTCCACCAGACTTTGGAGGTTTAGTGACCTTTTCATCAGGTTCAACGTCACTATTATCAGCAGCCATTTTCCTCACAGTTGCAAGCCCTGCTACTGTACTTTTTCCACCACGTGCCCTTCCACTAGACTTGTTGTTAGGTGTGGTGTCCTCACTGCCGTTTCCACCATCATCATCGTTGTTGTTATAATCTATAGCTTTCTGAGGAAGACCCTGCCCAGATCCACTTTTGGACTTTTTGCTATGGGTGATGTCAACAGGACACTTCCCAGCAATAGGTGAGACAAAATCATCATCATCCACAGCCTTGTGAGCTTTCTTAGCAGGAGGTGGCATACCATGTCCGGAAAACTCTTCACTGTCAGTATGAGCCTTTCTCTTGGATTTCACAACCTCCTTTTCATCCTTCACCTTATCCTTCGCAAAGTACTTACTAGTTTTCCTTCTCCCCGAACTTTCATATCCGCACTGCAGGAAAGAAAAAAGATTAGGGAGGAACAAAACAATTACAACAATTAAGTCATGTAGCCTTAACTATTAAGAACAAAAGATACACCCAGCATTATTATGTCGACCTGCTTCCATTAATATACATAATAATTTACCCTGGCTATGGTATATGCATGCATATGTATGTTATTCTTTGTGATACTATTGCATCCAAATTCCAAAGTAACAATTAAATATACTAAGATAGGACTAACCATGGTACATTAAGCATATGAAAATTGCAGAAACCCCCACAGCCACCACCAAGCAAAAAAATTACTATTTCGTGATCAAATTTTTTACAGAGTAACAAGTAAAGCACTAAAGCTAACCAATTTCTCTGGCTTTGAAGAGTCAGGAGAAGGTTTATCTGATGCAGTGGGCTTCACTGAGTTGGATGCACTGCCATTTCCAGAATCATGTTTCTTTATGAACCACTTTCTGATATCTGACTGTTATTAGAAGAGATGTGTTAGCATATAACCACATAAAGAGTTCTATTAACCCATACATACCTAAATAAAGTGCATAAAAGTATAAAACAATGATTATTCAAGAGTAAAACCATAATTAATTCATTGCATAAAATACAAAAAGAGGGCAATGTGTGCACATTGGTGTCCCCGCATGGCGATTGTCTGAGGAAGGGTCCCAACACAAGGGTGTATAAGGGGCAAGCCTTCCATTGTCATTTTGACAAGAGGCCGCTCCCAAAACTTGAACTCATGACCTCTCAGCCACACAGCAACACCGTAACCGGTGCGCCAAGGCTCCCCTTTATTGCATAAAATACAATAACTAAACAATAACTAAAACAAAACTAAATCATTTCATACATATGTAACGAATTGAAGGGAAGCCTTGGCGCACCGGTTAAGGTTTTCATGTGTGAGCGTCTGAGCGAGAGGTCACGGGTTTAAGTCTTGGGAGCAGCCTCTTGTCAAAACACTTGACAGGGGAAGGCTTACTCCTTACACACCCTTGCGGTGAGACCCTTCCCCATACCCTCGCCTTGCGGGATATCTTCGTGCACCGAGCTGCCCTTTCTTATAAACATAAATTAATTTTGATTTTATTCATGTTTAATTATTATTATTGTGTGGACTTGGTTTAGGTATATATGGGTTCATATTTCACAGGACTCTTTGCTTGGTTTCAATGTTGATATGGTATTACCTCCGTCCCACTAACATTTGGACATGAGTAGGTGGTGTGGTTATTAATAAAAGTGAGTTTGTTTGGTTGATATTGAATTGATAAAGTAAGAATGATTTCGAATCACACAAAGCTTACCAAATTTAGTATGGGACAATCTTAATGAACAAACCGAGAAGGAAAGATGGGTCAATCTTAACGGGACGGAGGCGGGTTGGAGAGAGTATATAAAAAGTGCATGTTTTTAACAATTAAATATTTCAATAAGATAGGTTTTAAATTGAGATTAGCTACACAGATTGTAGCGATGCTTGGAAGGTGATCCTAGACAATTTTGCAAATTATTGAGAGAATCAAGGATATAAGAAGGCAACCCCATTAACAAGGGTAGTATAAGAGTATATGTATACACACCTGTGATTCCTGTGAAGATTTAAGATCACATTCTTTTATAGTCTTTTAAGGCAACCATGAAATAGGATGAATTCTAAGGTGAAAATGTAGATCTTTATGAAGAGTAATATTAACTTGAGATTAGTACATAATCTCAATTTGTTGTACTATTATGAAATAAATAAATAAATAAATAAATAAATAAATAAATAAATAAATAAATAAATAAATAAATAAATAAATAAATAAATAAATACATAAATAAATAAATAAATAAGATTACGATAAACTGCTCTGCCCATATGCTTTTGTATCCTTCGTGCAAATAATTATCAAATCCAAACTGATGTCCTACCACTCAATGTCACCAAATTATTTCACTTATTTAATTGCACTTGCTGGTTTGTGTGCATAATCAAAATAAAACAACAAAATATTACCATTTTAACACATTGATCATCAGACAATTGGAGAGTGTTGTCTAACAAACTTCACTGCTGTACGCATAACGCAACCTGTTAGACAAATTTCAGTTATTTTCTGTAATAATGAGGATAATAAAATGTACAATAATCAGAAGAACACAATGCTACGTTTAGGATATCAATAATAAGGCATTCTCATTGCTGTTGAAGCCAGATAGCCAAAAAACGTCACATTCAGATTGTGTTGAAGCAAATGTCGGAACAGGGTGTTGAAGCGTATGGCAGGATCATAGAGGAACAACAACAAAAATTAAATACAAATAATAATTGTATTTAAATGTTATACATTTAAATAAAGCAATAAACAACATTGAAAGCTTTGTTAAACATAGAGAGACAGAGCCTGTAGCCTAAAAAATTTGAAGAAACTTAAAAAAGAAATGGAAGGGCTAAGAATAAAAAAATAGAGCTCAGAAGAAAAAAGTGTAACATAGAATAGTATTGCCGGAGACAACAGTCAAGACTTCAAACTGACATTTAAAAAACAGGAGAGCAGTTTTATTAGAAATAGAGACAACCTTGATGGAATAAGGTGTGTGATGAATGATGACATGCTTAGTCAAAAAAATTGTTAAAGTAGCGCGCACAAGGCAGGTCCAATGAGAGGTTCGCAAAGAGAAGCTTTGGGAGGAGTTCTTTTTTATTTTGGAAGTTTCTAGGGTGCCTCTTTAATAAATATCCCAGGTACCGGTACCCAAGATTTTTTAGCCAATCAAATCAAATACAAGTTAAAAAATGAGACGTTTACATCATAGTTAAATAATTTTATTTATATTTTGGTTCCTCGAACTAGAATACAAATTCATAGTTAATTAATTTCAAGTACTGATAAACAAGTTTGTCTAGAGACGAAGGAACATAAACTGCCCACGAACACTGTGGGTGATGGACACCAGTAGTCCTTGAACCAGATGCAATGAAATTAAAAGATAGAGGTGAGGATTGATGCAGATTCGAACCACAAAATCTCAAAGCCCCAACCCCATAAACTTCACTTTGAAAATTTATGATCCTGAAGACACAAAACCTGAGGATTCATAATATCAATCCTGAACCACGTTGACGCTCTGGCCTCGGCTAGGACTGAAATAAGTCCAAGTAAAAACATCCTAAATCTTATGGGGTACCGTATACAAATCAATTCTTTTAATTTTAGGTTCTGGAGGAGGGTTTTCTTTACGGGGAAGACATTACTATTAAAAGAAATAATTAGATATTAGATATATGACCAAAATAAATAAATGTTATTGTGATCTCCCAAGTGTAGTGATTATCAGGTGAGAAAACAAAGACCCTGTGCAAAAAAATGGGGGCTTCTTTTCCAACATAAGTAGAAAAAACATAATAAAGTTGATAATAGTGATAATTAATGATAACTTATATGTCAAAATACAAGTAACCAATGAATATAAAGTCACAATTAAAAGTATTCATTAACAAAATACATTTCATTTAAGCCTCTTCTAATCATGTACACGTTTACAAATTTGAAGTTAAAAGTTACTAGTAATTTATATTTTGAGTTGAGGACTAGATAATATAAACACGCACAAAAATATTTTTTGACAAGAAAAAAAATACTTAGGCCTTTCCATTTACTCGATTGTGTTTCTATTATAAATTCGATAATTTGTTAAATTCGATTATAAATTACTGAGGCCTTAGAAATATGAAACTCAATCATATATTAATCAAAGAGAATAAGATAAAACGTTAAAACCCACAATTAACAATACTTCAGAAATTAAGAAGATTAATAATTAATAGTTTGAAACACAAGTGGAAAACCTAAATTTGACAATTCCTCAGCGGAATCAGCAGTCGCGGGTCAGCGCCTCAGCGGTGTACCGGTGTCTCCCTCCAGGCCTCTCCGTTCACTCGATTCCAGCGACTGGCGTCGAGGCTTGGTGGCGCTCGGTAATCGTCAGATGTCAGGGACTCGTCCGGTCGTCCCTTTGGTCACTTCACTCCCTTCAACCCCTCTTGCACGATTAGGGTACGGTTACAGGGCAGCTTCAAAAATTACATGACATGGGTACGTGTATATTTATAAATAATACTCGGTATAATTTGCAAATATATATGGAGTATAATTCAGAGATTCATAACTAAAATAATAACACTATCAAAAACTCACAATTATAATAAAATTCCAAAGATTAAACCGAAAAAACTAAAGTACTGATATTTCGATTAAAATCAAATAATACATACTCCGTAATATTTTTGATTCTTTATTTGCATTTAAATCTAAGTTTTTTAACAACATTGATTTCAATTAATGTTCATCAAACGACAAATTGACAAATTATAGCATTCCAGTATTTTCTATATTCTCAAAATAATCTTTACTAATGTTCCACATCTTGTGATCGCTTGGGCGGTTACTAAATTTTCGTCATTTCATGTATGAAATCATGGTTATAATGTTAGATAGGCGTATCGGTTCACGGATATTTGTATCTGTAGTCATTTGAAAACATCAATTTCAGTTTTTTTGAAATGCTTCTAACTTTTAGCTTTTAAGTACTCAATTTAAACGGTTGTCATTTGAAAACATCAATTTCAATTTTTTTTAAGTCAAAGCTGAAAAGCGTTTTTTGTAAACATTTACCAAGTATGATTTGTATTGCGTTTTTACATGGGAAATTTTTACAACTAGATTAAAAATACGGAATATTGAAGAAATGCTCTTTATCGTTTTTGTCACCATTAAAATTTTCTTTTGGATATAAATTATTTCAAAGAAAAACAAAAAAATAGATCATTTGCATGTATGAAGTCCACAGACTCAAATTTCTTCTTCTCGCACATGTAAGGTTTGAATCATTACTCCCCTTTCAACAAACTAATACAAATAACGTAAGACATTCAATTTTTTAATTTTGAATAGAAAAATGTAAAAATTCAAGAAATCGTAACGCCGATAATCTATTCTAACATAAAAGCAAAAGAAGTTTGAGGAATAGTGTTCCCTCCAAGAAATGTCAACATCAAGTTTTATTTTATTTTTTATTGGATATTTTATTTTGATTAAAATACTAACTTTCTATTGGTTGAAATGGGTGGTGGGAATAATCAAATATTTAAACCTTGTCTATTTTAATATAAAAGCAAAAGAAGTTTGAGAAATAGTGTTCCCTCCAAAAAATATCAACATCAGGTTTATTTTAATTTTTATTGGATACTTTATTTGATTAAAATACTAATTTTCTATTGGTTGAAATGGGTGGTGGGAATAGTCAAATATTTAAACTTTATCTATTCTATTATTCTAATATAAAAGCAAAAGAAGTTTGAGGAATAGTGTTCCCTCCAAAAAATGTCACCATCAAGTTTTATTTTAATTTTTATTGGATACTTTATTTTGATTTAAATACTAAATTTCTATTGGTTGAAATGAGTGGTGAGAATAGTCAAATACTTAAATCTTATCTATTCTAATATAAAAGCAAAAGAAGTTTGAGGAATAGTGTTCCCTCCAAGAAATGTCAACATCAAGTTTTATTTTCATTTTTATTGGATACTTTATTTTGATTAAAATACTAATTTTCCATTGGTTGAAATTATGGGTGGGAATAGTCAAATACTTAAACCTTATCTATTCTAATATAAAAGCAAAAGAATTTTGAGGAATAGTGTTCCCTCCAAGAAATGTCAACATCAAATTTATTTTAATTTTTATTGGATACTTTATTTTGTTTAAAATACTAATTTTCTATTGGTTGAAATGTGTGGTGGGAATAGTCAAATATTTAAACCTTATCTATCTATTCTAATATAAAAGCAAAAGAAGTTTGAGCAATAGTGTTCCCTCCAAAAATGTATACATCAAGTTTTATTTTAATTTTTATTGGATACTTTATTTTGATTAAAATAATAATTTTCTATTGGTTGAAATGGGTGGTGGGAATAGTCAAATACTTAAACCTTATCTATTCTAATATAAAAGCAAAAGAAGTTTGAGGAATAGTGTTCCCTCCAAGAAATGTCAACATCAAGGTTTATTTTCATTTTTATTGGATACTTTATTTTGATTAAAATACTAATTTTCTATTGGTTGAAATTGGTGGTGGGAATAGTCAAATATTTAAACCTTATCTATTCTAATATAAAAGCAAAAGAAGTTTGAGGAATAGTGTTCCCTCCAAGAAATGTCAACATCAAGTTTTGTTTTAATTTTTATTCGATACTTTATTTTGATTAAAATACTAGTTTTCTATTGGTTGAAATGAGTGATGTGAGCAGTCAAATACTTAAAACTTGTCTATTCTAATATAAAAGCAAAAGAAGTTTGAGTAATAGTGTTCCCTCTAAGAAATGTCAACATCAAGTTTTATTTTAATTTTTATTGGATACTTTATTTTGACTAAAATATTACTATTTCTGTCCCGCTATGATTGTCCTATTTTACCTTATCGGTCCATCCCACTAAGATTGTCTCATACCAAATTTGGTAAGTTTGTGTGGCTCTAAATCATTCTTAATTTATTCTTACTTTATCAATTCAATATCAACCACATAAACAACTTTTTATTAATTTGCGTGTCACTCCCTCTTGTCCCATTATTAGCGGGACGGAGGGAGTAATTTTCTATTGGTTGAAATTGGTGGTGGGAATAGTCAAATACTTAAACTTTATCTATTCTAATATAAACACAAAAGAAGTTTGAGGAATAGTGTTTCCTCCGAGAAATGTCAACATCAAGTTTTATTTTAATTGTTATTAGATACTTTATTTTGATTAAAATACTAATTTTCCATTGGTTGAAATGGGTGGTGTGAATAGTCAAATACTTAAACCTTATCTATTCTTATATAAAAGCAAAGGAAGTTTAAGGAATAGTGTTCCTTCCAAGAAATGTCAACATCAAGTTTTATTTTCATTTTTATTGGATACTTTATTTTGATTAAAATACTAATTAATTTTCTATTCGTTGAAATGGGTGGTGGGAATAGTCAAATATTTAAACTTTATCTATTCTATTATTCTAATATAAAAGCAAAAGAAATTTGAGGAATAGTGTTCCCTCCAAAAAAAGTCACCATCAAGTTTTATTTTAATTTTTATTGGATACTTTATTTTGATTCAAATACTAATTTTCTGTTGCTTGAAATGGGTGGTGGGAATAGTCAAATACTTAAACCTTATCTATTCTAATATAAAAGCAAAAGAAGTTTGAGGAATAGTGTTCCCTCCAAGAAATGTCAACATCAAGTTTTATTTACATTTTTGTTGGATACTTTATTTTGATTAAAATACAAATTTTCTATTGGTTGAAATGAGTGGAGGGATTAGTCAAATACTTAAACCTTATCTATTCTAATATAAAAGCAAAAGAAGTTTGAGGAATAGTGTTCCCTCCAAGAAATGTCAACATCAAGTTTTATTTTAATTTTTAATTGATACTTTATTTGATTAAAATACTAATTTTCTATTGGTTAAAATGGTTGGTGGAAATAGTCAAATACTTAAACCTTATCTATTCCAATATAAAAGCAAAAGAAGTTTGAGGAATAACGTTCCCTCCAAGAAATTTCAACATCAAGTTTAATTTTAACTTTTATTGGATACTTTATTTCGATTAAAATACTACTCTCTCAGTCCCTAATTGTAAGATACATTTACTATTCACATGGTCAACATAAATCATTTTTAATCTTTTACTTTATATAACAAAAGTTTATGAAATTTGAATTATTTTTTGTAGGTTTTGTAGCGGTTTTAACGTAGTTTCTGAATATGTCAATTTTATTTTCTAAAACTAATTTGAGTGTTGACAGGGATTAATTTGCTTTATCGTCGGTCAAACATCGTAAACCGTAAAATATCTTACAAATTGGGACGGAAGGAGTAATTTTCTATTGGTTGAAATGGATGGTGGGAATAGTCAAATACTTAAACTTATCTATTCTAAAATAAAAGCAAAAGAAGTTTGAGGAATAGTGTTTCCTCTAAAAATGTCAACATCAAGTTTTATTTTAATTTTCATCGGATACTTTATATTGATTAAAATACTGATTTTCTATTGGTTGAAATGGGTGGTGGGAATAGACAAATACTTAAACCTTATCTATTTATTATAATATAAAAGCAAAAGAAGATTGAGGAATAGTGTTCCCTACAAGAAATGTCAACATCAAGTTTTATTTTAATTTTTATTCGATACTTTATTTTGATTAAAATACTAATTTTCTATTTGTTGAAATGAGTGGTGTGAATAGTCAAATACTTAAACCTTATCTATTCTAATATAAAAGCAAAAGAAGTTTGAGGAATAGTGTTCCCTCCAAGAAATGTCAACATCAAGTTTTATTTTAATTTTTGTTGGATACTTTATTTTGATTAAAATACAAATTTTCTATTGGTTGAAATGAGTGGAGGGATTAGTCAAATATTTAAACCTTGTCTATTCTAATATAAAAGCAAAAGAAGTTTGAGGAATAGTTGATGGAGTTATGGGACTAGGCCCAGAGCCCAATCAGCCCAAGCCCCGAACTTGGACCCGTGGATCCAGGTCCACAACCTGTAGCCTGCCTACCATCCCAACGGGGAACCTGCCAGTTCAGCCGACCTGCCAGCCAAGTGGGAGATTGTTAGTATATATGTCCTAGCGACAATCACTTTTTAGATATATATGTACTTGATCACATTCAGTTTTATATATTTGATATATACGGTATTACACGTTGACGATTAAGCATTTCGATTGTCAATGTCTTATTCATAATTGTGTTCCCTTGGACTTATGTTGTCAATAAGTAAGTGAGAGCTTATATGATATAACATAAAGTCCTAAAATAGTCCCGATCAATGATCATCAAGAAAGGGATATTGATGATATGCGATAAGATTGGTATGCGGACTGCATCATACTTTTAGAAAGTATAGTTGACCTCACAACTATGAGTTCTTGCAATTCATGATGGTCACATAGATATTTTAGAGAATATTGGCATACCCACCGAGAAACCGTTTGATAAGTTCTATTCATGTGTCTATGGGATTATCGGCGTATAGAGTAGTGTAATAGTCCTCAGA